AGTGTTATTATTCATCATCCAGGGTGCAGAACAACTATTTCTTAACCCGAGGTAATCTTACGATTATTTTATAATTAAATTACGTTTAGAATTTAAATAGTTACATTCCTATTGATTCACTACGTAAAATTTAACATAAAAAAAATAAAAATATAGGTCATAAGACAAGAAAATTTGTAGTTTATCTGTATTTTAGACCATGTTTTTACGTTTGTAATTTTACATAACATAAAATATTTTTTACGGTGATTATATTTTTTTTATGGTCTCTTTTTATGTCGGAAATAAGACAAAACTTACGGAACGTAAAATTACGGTGCATTGATAGTAAAATAGAGGGGGGTGAAGAATAACTATTCATCACCCAGGGTGCAGAATAAGTTATTTTTCACCCGAGGTAATCTTACGATCATTTCATAATTAAATTACGTTTAGAATTCAAATAGTTACATTCCTATTGATTCACTACGTAAAATTTGACATAAGAAAATCAAAATATAGGAAGACAAGAAAATTTGCAGTTTATGCGTATTTTAGACTATGTTTTTACGTTTGTAATTTTACATAACATAAAATATTTTTTACGGTGATTATATACTTTCTTACGGTCTCTTTTTCGTCGGAAATAAGACAAAACTTACGAAACGTAAAATTACGGTGCAGATGGTAAAATAAAGGGGGTGAAGAATAACTATGCGCATTCTTTCTTAGCCTATACTCCGGCCAATTCGAACCAACCGGCCAATACGCGCAAAGTAGCCCGACGCGCTAATTAGACCAAAGGGCACGCACGTTGTGGAAAAATTCGACCGTAAAGTTTTACGACCAAAACTGCTTCGCCAGCTTCTCCTATACGTGAAAATAGGATAGTAACAGGTTACCATCACCACACGCTGATTAACATTACAAGCCCAACCGTTAGTTCCTAGCATCAGTAATTGGCCATGTAGGACGTAGAAAACATGTTACCATCACTATTATAGCAATAGTAAATGGCCTTTAGGAAGTGAGTAGTAACAAGTTACCATCTGCGTCCATCTGCATGCGGCCTGTATGATCAAGAGCAATCCATTTTTAGACTAAAATAGCACAAGTAGTAATGCATTACTACATATCAGGTCATTTTCTTTTGCACTACCATCGACTTCATTTTTTTATTGTTGCCAATTTGTGAGCATCTAGTAATTCATTACTACTTGTCAGCAAGGTTTTACTACATTTAGCGATCAAATCACCGATATCTCACTTCCTGGTAAAAAAACATTTGTCCATTACTATCTATACTTTCCCTATTACTGACAATGAATAGTGAACGCAGAATCGGGACATAGCGGACCGGCGCATGGTAACAAAATTAAATGCATTACTTTTTCTTACACACTCCATTACCCTCAACAAACTAGCGGTGGAGAGTGGCCTTCTCCGCGCGAATAGCGCGCCTAATTAGGGGACGCGGCTCGTCTGCCGTGCCTTCACGCACGGCAGAACTGCCGTACGGGCCATAATCGGCCGTTCGTTCACTGCTTTCTCATCCAACGGACCTCTGCTACCCCACTAACAAGCGAACCGAATTAGCGGGAGCTGTTAATAAAATAGGCGCCAAAATCACGTCCGCCGTCTGGCCTTCTCGCGCCAAAAATTGCTGCGCCGCGTATCAAGGTGAGGACTGAGGTGCTCGTCGCACGAATCGGCACAACCAAGATGCGTTCTCCTTGAGTTGCCACCGCCGCGATCGTGCCAAGCTGCTGCCACCACCGCCGCCGCATCGAATTCAACGGAGCTGCCGCCGTGGCTTTGCTTGTCGAGCAGCCGCCACCGCGTCGCCCGTCGAGCAGCCGCCGCCGCCGCCGAATCCAACAAAGTTGCAATCGCAGCGTCGCCGTCAGCTTCCGCCGCTGTGTCACATCCAACAAAGCTGGCTCCAAACTGCGCGTACACGTTGCGATCTAAGGCGAGGAGTCACGTTCGATCGCCATAGGTAAAAATCAAAAAATCATCATCGATCTCCTAATTTGCTTTTCAAAACTGATGCTTAGCTGATTTTCTTCCTTGTACATTCTCCTCTGTATTGCTGAAGAACTTTGGTTTTTATTGCCACTTAGTCAATTGGTGGAGCCATCCCACATCTGTTTTCCAATGGAAAGCACAAACGAGGGAGATCACCAGGATAATGGCAGTCTGAATACGTAAGTGAGATGCAGTAAAAATACTACAGCTCTTTTTTACAGTTATTTATTTATGTCCAGTACACTAATGCAAATTGAGTCTTGGCTTTTATAGATCGAGTGCCATACCAAGTTGGGTACCACAGATGGGCATGAAATTCGGCACTGTCGATGAAGCATGGACATTCTGGGTTACTTATGGGGGCAAAGTTGGATTTGGTTCTAGAAAGCGATACCTCAACCCAAGTAAGTTTGATCGGACAATCACGTCGTGCAGATTTGTTTGTCGCAAGGAAGGCCATCGAGGAAAAGACAAAAGAGATAAGCATATTAAGGAACCTCGAGCTGAGATTCGAACCGGTTGTCTAGCTCGCATGGGTCTCACAATAAACAGAGAAGCGGGAAATTATGAAGTAACCGATCTTGTTCTAGAGCACAACCACATTATGCAGTTGCAAGAAACATGCCACTTTCTGCCATCACAGCGAAAGATATCTGAAATTCAAGCTTTTGAGATTGAAATTGCAGATGATTCAGGTATTGGGCCAAAAGCTGCGTATGAGTGTGCTAGTCGTCGAGTTGGTGGACCATCTGTTCTTGGCTATATACGTAGGGATCACAAAAATCACCTACGTACTAAGCGCCAAAGGGAACTAATGTATGGTGAAGCTGGGAGTATGTTAAAATACTTTCAGGATAAAGTCGCCCAAAACCCATCGTTCCAATATGCCATACAGCTGGACAATGAAGAACAGATCACAAATATATTTTGGACTGATGCAAAAATGTTAATTGATTATGCTCATTTTGGTGATGTGGTTACTTTTGACACAACATTTGGAACCAACAAGGAACTTAGGCCATTTGGTGTATTCGTTGGGTTCAATCAATTCAGACAAACTGTTATATTTGGTGCTTGCCTTTTATATAGTGAAACATATGAGGCTTTCAAATGGCTATTTGAAACTTTTCTCTTTGCACATAATCAGAAGCATCCAAGAACTATATATACAGATCAAGATGTTGCAATGGGAAATGCGGTTGAGGATGTATTTTTAATGGCACGGCATGGTTTATGCACGTTTCACATAATGCAGAATGCCATCAAACATTTATCTTGTCATAAGAAGGAGGAGGAGGAGGCGGAGGAGGAGGTTGAAGGGGAGGGGGAGGGGGAGGAGGAGGAGGAGGAGGATGAACCACATATTCTTGCAGACTTCAGTGCTTGCATGTATGAGTACCGAGACAAGGAAACATTTGAGGAAGCTTTTGACACCATGCGAGGTAAAATAGAAAAACAAACTTGGCTTGATAGCATCTATAAGGTAAAAGAGAAGTGGGCTGAATGTTTTATGATGGATGCTTTCACCTTGGGAATGCGAAGCACACAACTAAGTGAGAGCCTAAATAATGACCTCAAGAACCACTTAAAAGCAGATCTTGACATTCTTCGTTTTTTCAAACATTTTGAAAGGGCCGTGCAAGTGAAACGTGATGCTGAGTTGAATTCAGAGTATGAGTCTAGGGAGTTATTACCTAGGGTCAAAATGAATGTTCCCATGTTGATCCAGGCAAGCAAGGTCTACAGTCCTATCATATTTGAAAGTTTTCAAGCAGAATTTGAGAGATCCATTGCATCATTCACCAAAAAACTAGATGTGGGCTATGAATTTGCCATAACAATCAGCTCCGAAGATGAATGCAAAGTTATTGGGAATCCTTTTGAACAAACAGCTTCCTGCAGCTGTGGCCAGTTTGAGAGAATCGGTATATTGTGTGCCCATGCTATAAAAGTTCTTGATTTGATGAACATTAAGTTATTGCCAGAACATTATATTCTGAAGAGATGGACTAGAGAAGCACGGTGTGGAACTATTCAGGACAGAAGTGGGAGGAATGTTGTTGAGAACCCAATGTTCGATATTGATCAGCGCTACAAATCTCTCAATCGCAAGTTTATGAATTTGGCCACCCAAGTAGCTCCCTCCGAAGAATGTTGTACTCTGCTTGAAAGTGCACTTGATAGCCTTACTAAGGAATTTCTAGGCCGAATGAAAAATGTCCATCAAAGTAACCACATGGAGGGATGTTCCACCCAAGTGGTACATGAAGAATCAAATGAGCACTTAGCTGCTGCACGCCTAAAGAAAAAATCTCCTAAGAAGAAAACTAGAAAGAGAAAGTTGAACTGGATTGACAAGCAACATAAGAACAAGAAGAAAGGGGCTCCAAAGAAAGGACAAACTGAAGTAAAGAGAGCAAAGAAATTACCTAAGGTATGTTCTTTATATACTACAAATTTGTTGTTAGTTAAAATATAAACTACAACTTTGCTGAAATTTTTTGTTATCTTTAGTTTCAGCAAAGAGAAGATGGGATTGGACCATCACAATCGCACACCATAGAAAACAATGAGTATTGGAGCAACCAGAATGTGACCGGGAGTAATTGTTTCACAGATAATTATATTGCACCTAGTTTTACCGATTTGGTGACGGTAAGTGTGATCTGAAATTGTGTTCTGCTAGTACGTTCAATAATGCAGCTGTACATTGTGATGAAATTACTTTTTGTAATGCAGACTTCTAGAGTCGAAGACATTGAAGCCCTTTGCCGTGACGACTTCTTTTGATAATTAAAGGAAGTGCTCTCTTCATTTGGATGCAGTGAAAAGTCCATTTAGCAGTAGTTCTGTGAAATGCACTCATGTGATGTGGCTTCTCAGTGTTATGGTATTTTGGGGATTTATATAAGTAGTAATAGTACTCTGTTGGTGCTTGAGTTTCAATGCTCAAAATTGCAAAAATATTTGAGTTTCATTGCTAAAAAATCCAGTACTTTGTTAATACAAATAGCATGCTTGGATGCTTCAGTGCTAAACATTGCAGTAGCACTTCAGTTTCAGTTCTACAAATTTCAGTACTCTGTTAGTAGAGTGCTTGGCTGATTTAGGGGTGAAAATTGCAATAGCTCTTCAGTTTCCCTGATAAAACTACAGACTATGCTTGGAACGGCTGTACCTGCAATTTTTGGGGTGAGAAACAGGCATGACTACAGGCCACTACCAAATTTGGGGCAATTCAGACTTCATAGGACTAGAGAAAGGATGGGATGTGATGCAACTGCGGCATCTTGACTGACATGGCAGCGACGGTGGCTCGATGTTAACACAACGGCTGCAGCTCGACAGTGAGGCGGCGGCGGCTCCGTTGGATGTAACGCGGCAATGGCGGCGGCGGCTCCGTTGGATGTAACGCGGCGATGGCGGCGGCGGTTTGACGGCGACGCAGTGGCTGCAGCTCGATAGCAACGAGGACGCATCAGCTTGATGATCGGCTACTTTTCTAACCCATGCGGTGATGACCTTACATCCTCACTGCTACAATTTTTGGCGCGAGCAGATTCAGAGTATAGTGAAACAAGCAAGTTGGTGGGGTAGCAGAGGTCCGTTGGATGAGAAAGCAGTGAACGAACGGCCGATTGTGGCCCGTACGGCAGTTCTGCCGTGCGTGAAGGCACGGCAGACGAGCCGCGTCCCTAATTAGGACCGGTCGGAGCGTAGGCTAAGCAGGAATGCGCGCTCGCTCACAATAGCGCAGCCGTGTGTGTGTGTGTGTGTGTGTGTGTATATATATATGTATATGTATATATATATATGTATGTATATTAATGGCGCACCGTGGCATAGTGCGCCATTACTAGTTTAAACTAGTAATGGCGCACTTTGAAACGATGCGTCATTAGTAGTTTTGCAAAAAAAAAGAATAAAAAAATACAGTAGTGGCGCACTTTATGACTGGTGCGTCATTACTAGTTAGAACTACTAATGGCGCACTTTGTCAGGATGCGCCATTAGTATGTTTAGAAAAATGAAAAAAAATGTTACTTGTGGCGCACCTTGTGCTTGGTGCGCCATTAGTGTCTTCCACATTAATGGCGCATCACCACATGGTGCGCCATTAGTATATAGTAGTGGCGCACCATTTCTCTGGTGCGCCATTAGTGTCAATTTCATCTATAGTCCTTTTCCGAGTAGTGAAGAGGGAAGTTGAGCCCCAACACAATATATAGGAATAGATGATCCATCTCCGAGGGTAATGAAAGGAAAAGGAGATTTAGTGCAAGATCATAACCAATTACTAGATGCAGACATATGACTAGAGGCCCCTGAATCAAAGATCCAATGCGTACCTGAGTTTCCTTGCGCAACAAAATTATTCATGGCCTGGAGAAAAGCAGCTTGATCCCAACTCGCGTCGCATGTGAGGGTGGCGTCGGGAGCAGTGCCGGCGTATATGATGGTGAAGGTAGCAGGGCCGACTGGGGTGTGTAGTAGGCGCCGCCGTCGGTGGAGTAGTGACCATAAGGAGCATACGTCGGGGTGGCGTGAGAGGCATTGGCCGGCTGTGGTGAGGGTGGCGTCAGGAGCAGTGCCGGCTGAGGTGTGTAGTAGGCGCCGCCGTCGGTGGTGTAATGACCATAAGGATCATACGTCGGGGTGGCGTGATAGGCATTGACCGGCTGTTGGGGGTTGAGAACCCCGGGAGCACCAGTAGGCGGCCGAAGGCTGGGTTGCCAGGCACCTGAGTATGCCGGCGAAGCACGGAGTGGGGACGGAGCGGACCAGGGCATGAGCCACGCCTAAATGAGCCCCGTCCAAGGATCATGAGGAGGCCGCCATGCAGCCGCAGATGGAGCACTGGTGGGTGGTGCAGGACTCGGTGCTGGTGATGTCATAGGCAGAACCGAACGAGTCGACGACGGCTTGTAGATAGGATTTTTGCCATGGTAGTTTGGAGTAGGGCGCCAGCCTGGGGGCGGTTGAGCGGATGACGACGCGGACGGCCGGGCGGTAGGAGCCGGCATGAGAGGCGGCGCTGGTGTAGACGGCGGAAGAGGACAAGCCGCAGCATGGAAGAACTTGGGGCGAGAGTCCTTGTGAGCTTGTGTTTCCGCCACGAGTTGGAGTAGGGCACGAACTTCAGCGAAGGAAGGAGGAGGCCGTATCATCGGTATGAACGAGGCTTTCTTGTCAAAGTCCTCGCTGAGGCCGACGATGATGATGTTGATTAGCTGTGAGTCGCTGACTGTATCGCCGAGTTAGCGAAGCTCATCACCAATGGTCTTGACGCGCTGGCAGAACAGGTTCACCGGGGTGTCTCCTTGCACCATATTGCGAAGCTCGGTGTGGAGAGCATTTTTCCGAGCGTCGGTGTTGCTTTGGAAGAGTTGACGGAGGGAGTGCCAGATGTTGGCAGCGGTGGCGCCGTCGTGATCGAGCATGTTGAAGATCTTGGTGGTGATGCGGGTGTAGAACCACTGGACGACCACAAGATCGTCTTTCAACCATTGCGGATCGTTGGGGCAGGGAAGACAGTTGGCGGCGACATGCGAGCGCAGGTTGCAGTGGCCGAGGTGGAGATCGAAGAGATGCCTCCAATGGTAATGGTTGTGGGCGGCGAGATCAAGAACTATGGGGATGTAGGGGCTGACGTCGGAGATTGTGTGTCAGCAAGAGACATTGGTGCGGCGAGGATGGGTGTAGGGGAGTTTTGTGGATCTATGGAGAGGGCCGAGAGAGAGGCAGCCGCGGCGTTGGCAGCCTTGGCGATGAGCACGGCCCGACGCTCGAAGTAACCAGGCGGCAGCGACGCCGGCCTCGGCGGAGCCATACCCTAAACCCTAGGACCAGTATTTGATCAGAAGGATGAATAAAACGGTTGCTTATTGATTGATTTGGTGCGGCATACAAAAGTATATAAGAGGGTACAAACCGACTTGGGGTAGGGTTATAAAACTAACTTGGACTAGAAGTCGTATATCATAATGACTACTCTAACATTTGTAAATCTAGGCGATCTATGCGCGTAGAGCTCATTTCCAGATAGATATTCTTCCATGTTTTCCAGGGTAATTTGTTAGTCTGCCAACCAAACCGTGAGTGAAAAAACAGATATACATAACCACAGTCCGTTAAATGACGAAAAACACAAAATTTCATCTAACTCATAGAAAATGTGCAAAACATCAAATGGTATATGCCCACATCCCTGACAGAGATAATAGTAATTATAACTAGACAACCGGTAAACAACAAGCCATGGGACTCGTGGAGTATTTGGGATTCGACTACCGCCATCTAATAAATCAAGAGCGTCAAGATATACTGAAGAGCTTCGACTTTGTTACTACTCTTTGACCGTCAGATCCAGACTACGAACCTGCGACGCTGAATCTTGGAGGTCCGTTCTAGTTCCACCCGGCGGCATGGTTGCAGAACAGCGGCGGCGAGGGGTGGTGCGGCACGGCGAACCAACCCAATCCAGCAGTTCCTCAAACAAATACCGAGAGGCAGGGGTCTGAAAGATGGATACAATATGTTAAGTGCGGGTGTGGGCTCCACTGTATCTATTGTATGCAAATACACACAACAAAAAATCGTTCGGCCACTGTTGCTACATTGACTATGTGGTACGGGAGTGATTTGTACGCATGAATCGCAGAATGGATCCAACACCCCTGCGCTACCCGGTAGAAACCGGTACCGCTAGTTTTTCATTTTGCAGAGATACTTCGCTCTCTCTCCTCGGTGGAGGGCCCCACGTCCCCACCCCTCGTTGAGTGCAATCGAGCATTTTCTAGCATGGGCCTGCATGTCAGAGGCACACTACCGCAAGTGCCCTCAGCGCTTTTCCTATTAGCCATGCATAAACTTGAAGAAGAATCCGAAGAGAGACGTCGGGATTCTCCTCCCTACCACTGCTTGGCGGAGTGGAAGGTAGAGGAAAGGCGAATCCATGGGCTCGCCGGTAAAGTACAGAGTGAGAGTTTGCCCAGCCGCACCTAAGGTCTGGGGAAGAAACTATTGAGATGGGTTCTTTCTTTTTTTGTTTTTTGATCTGCTATTGAGATGGTTCTGCGTCTTCTGAAAGAGTGTACTTCCCTTTCTCCATCTACCTTGCCATGGGACAGCGCTGCACGTCCCATGAGGCGGTGGGAATTTTGGATCGGGGGACGAGGAGAGACGAACGCTTGCGAGACGCCTATGATCTGTCATTTTAGAAAAAAGAAAAGAAAATTGGATTGCTATTGTAGAAGAAACAAAAACCTCACCCGTATAAGGCTAGAACTCAGGAGCATCTTCTATATATATCTATACAGCTTCGGTCGTGTGCGATCGATCTGCTCGAATTAATTAAGCAGGCCGTGGTACTTGTCCGAGTAGTATATATATAGCATATATATACCTAGCACCACCGTGCGTTTCCAGCCGGACGAGATCTAGCAAGCCTCCGGCGAGATCATTCGACACCAGGTTCTGGCCGGAAAGCAATCGGCACAAAGCCGCAAGCTTCTGCTACGTACGAGCTCTCGCCGGAAATTAAAGTCGGTTACGATGGACGTCGTCCCTGCGGCTCCATCTCCAAGTATTTACCCTCTCGACCTCGTGAGTTTCGGGCGCATGGTCCTCGACCGTGGCCTCGTTCTCCCGGAGGCCAAGGTGGACAACATCTATCTCCCCGTCGACAAGTTCAAGCTCCTGCGCATCGATGACTGTATTGTGCGTAAGAACGTCAGCGACATCAAGGTGATGGACAGGAGCCACCTGTACCCCGGACAGGTGGTCGCGTC